CTCTCAACAAGTTCCTTCCTTCTGCTTCCTCCCCCTGACCACATTCTGTCATCCACTTGCTTAAGCCCGCCAGGTATGTCACACGTTGTTTTCCCTTGTCTCTCTTTCCCTCTATTTAACCTGTGAGTATCAGATTCTCCAGGCCCTCCTTTCTCATTATGTGTCCCAGGAACTTCAGCTGCCTTTTCCTAATTTTAAATATATTCAAATCTCACCATGATTAATTTGTTTAAAAGGTGATTTCCTGATAATATTTGGTTTGAGGAGACATTACCCTGCATGTGGTACCATTGGGTACTTCCTAAAAAACATAAAATGGGTTGACCTGAGCCTTTTAAAGTAAAATGAGTGAATGAAACTGATCATTGGTTGGGCTAACACAAGGTCAACATGTCTTCAACATATGGATAGATAGAAGCTCTTTAGCCTTGGCTGGAAATTCTTTTAATCATTTCACCCCATGCAAGGCAGTAAAGCCATTCAAGGGGTTACTGGGTATGAAAGAATAAAAAAAAAAGTAAAATACTGTCATTTAGAAAGAACAATAGAAGAGTAATCAAGAAGACAGTAGATAACGATTGACATTGCGTTTAAATTTCTGCAGATTAATGTTGGCTGGAAAGCATGAGACTGGATGAAATTTCCACAAGTGAGAAGTGCGAAAAAAAACCCCAAAAAACTGTTGGCATAGAATTTACAGTTACATCCAGGCAGTTCAACTTTAAATTGGTGAAAAGTAGCTGCCAATCTAGTACTGTGGTTAAATCTATTTAGGCGGCTTATGGATAAAAAAAAATAAACTCCTCCCCACCACCCAGAAGCCTGGCCACTCATGGAGATGTCCCAGCCTAAAAGAAACTCACAATGACTGAAATTCTTGAAAAAGAAATGTGACATGAGTCTGCAATCAGCTAGTTGCAGAAATGGTGCAACATGATCATGATAATGATGACATATATTTATATATATATATATATATATATATATATATATATATATATATTCTTTATCATTGTTCATATTTTTATATACTTTCCATGTCAGAAAATACAATAAAAAACAACGTGCATTGAAAGGACAAAGCTAAGCAGTGTAAAGGTCAATAAAAATAGTTCCACCAGATGCTTTTGAATTTCTTGTGCCCCTCATAGGCACGTTGCCTGCAAGTCTTAGGAAAGGATGCTTCCATGTCTCTTTTGGTTATCTATCCAATGCAGCAATTCTTAGAAACTTCCATTCTTTCCTTTCTTGTTTTTCTTTCATACTTCCATTTTGTTTTGCTCTGTTTCCAACATTTTCCTCCCTCTTTTCATTCTTTTATTTCATTTATTTTTTCTATCTCTCATTCTTTTCTTTTCCTTTTATTTCACTGACTTAGTCTCTCTCTCTCTCTCTCTCTCTCTATATATATATATATATATATATATCTTCATTTCTCTTCTTCCTTTCTTTTCCTTTTATTTGCTTGACTTAGTCTCTCTCTATCTATTCATTTCTCATGTTTCTTTCTTTTTCTTTTATTTCCCTAATCTAGTCTTTCTTTCTATCTCTTCATTTCTCTTTTCTTTTTCTTTTATTTCACTGACCTAGTCTCTCTCTCTCTCTCTCTCTCTCTCTCTCTCTCTTCATTTCTCTTCTTTCTTTTTTTCCTTTTATTTTCCTGACCTAGTTACTCTCTCTCTCTCTCTCTCTCTCTATATATATATATATATATATATATATATAACTTCATTTTCTTTCTTCCTTTCTTTTCCTTTTATTTGCTTGACCTAGTCTTTCTCTCTCTATCTCTTCATTTCTTTTCTTTCTTTTTTCCTTTTATCTTCCTGAACTAGTTACTCTTTCTTCTCTCTCTCTCTCTCTCTATATATATATATATATATATATATATATATATATATATATATCTTCATTTCCCTTCTTCCTTTCTTTTCCTTTTATTTGCTTGACTTAGTCTCTCTCTATCTGTTCATTTCTCATGTTTCTTTCTTTTTCTTTTATTTCCCTAATCTAGTCTTTCTATCTATCTCTTCTTTTCTCTTTTCTTTTTCTTTTATTTCAATGACTTAGTCTCTCTCTCTCTCTCTCTTCATTTCTCTTGTTCCTTTCTTTTCCCTTTATTTCTCTGATCTAGTCTTTCTCTATCTCTTCATTTCTTTTTCTTTTATTTCATTTAGTCTATCTCTCTTCATTTCTCCATTTCCTTTACTCCTCCTTTATTTAATCTACCTATCTCTCTCTCTCTCTCTCTTCTTTCCTCTTCATTTCTCTTTCCTTTCCTCTTCTTTTATTTCATTTACCTATTCTTCAACTCTCTCTTTTATTTCCTTGGCCTTCTCTCTCATCCTACCCTCTCACTTCTCTCTTTCGTCTTTATTTTATTGTACATCAAAAGTGATTCAGGTGAGCAGAACATTGCATAAATATACTAAGCTGTGGGGTGGGGTCTGCGATGTGAATGAGAAAGCCTTCTAGATGGAGCCACTTGGCATTTTTTTCTGATTACTGGATTGGAACTCTACAGCTGAGAGCCATATGTAATGTTGGCCTTATGACCATTGTTAACACACCTATCAGGGTTTGGTGAGGAGTTTTATTTGATGTTCAAATAATATATCCCCACTCCTATATATATATATATATATATATATATATATATATATATATATATATATATATATATAGCATCTTGCGTATGTGGTTGCTAATATATAATTATTTGATTTACCTAACTCTCTCTATCTATATTTATATATATATATATATATATATATATATAAGTGAACATAAGTCAACACTTAGAGGCGACAGTCTGTTTCATGCTATATGCAATCGTCAGGCCTTCTATGTTCACTTTTATATTTACACACGCTCTATCTCTGATGTCGAGCACTTTATCCCATAAATATAGCACACCTTAAGACTATATTTCTTCATATATATATATATATATATATATATATATATATATATATATATACAATTAAGCAGGTAAAAATGCATTTATCTATATAAACATTTCTGTCTGATAAAAATGTGTATGATTATATATCTACTAGCATTGTACCCTTACAAATGATGGGATTACTTATGTATGAATCAACATTCTGCCAAGGATACCCCCTTTGACAAAATAAAGTGAATCTGCTTCAAATCAAAGTTACTCCACTATACCAAACAGAAGTACTGACAAGTGACTTTGTGCACTAAGGTCATACTATCTGTATATTTAGATGGCTGATACTGTCAGCCATCTTAGGTTAACTATCTGTATATTTACATGGCTGATACTGTCAGCCATCTAAGGTCAACATACTATCTGTATATTTAGATGGCTAATACTGTCTACCATCTTAGGTCAACTTTCTGTATATTTACATTGCTGATACTGTCAGCCATCTTCAGTTAACTATCTGTATATTTAGATATTGTACTGCCTTAACTGGGTATTGAACTCGCACTCTTTGGATCCTGTCACAGGATCTAACTAATGCCTTTATCCACTGTGCCATGTGTTCTCAAGGCAGTGGAGAATTAACAAGAGATAACTGATAACTGAAATTCATTCAAACATGGCACGTGGAACTAGAACAGTCTACCCCAGTGAGCAAAATAAAGGGTTCAGTTTGCCGGAGTGTACAACGGCCAAAATGTTGTAATAGATATGGCCACAAAGATGAGGACAATAACCTGAATAATGTAAATAATGACTGAAATGTTATAATAATAGCAAAGTCATTAGTTGGAATTTAAATAATTTTCTGGGATGTCATCAAGAAGACCAACTAGTAGCTCCACAATACCAAAGACTCGCTGAAGGCTGGCGTCTTAGAGATATAACATTAATGATGAGATTAGCCATTTCCTTACAAGGAAATTGTATTCAGTGAGACCAGTTAGCATTGAAATTTATAAAATCTTTCACTTAAAATAGTGTTGTAACCTAGGGAAGGTTACTGAATAGAATAATCAAACGAAGGTTGGTAATGAATGATAATACTTAGGACAAGAACAACACATATAAGATTCGCCAGCAGCATGAAGAAGTAGTAGTCAACTGCTAGAAGGGAGTCAAGTGAATTCCACAATGAATCTCCAACTGCAGGATATATACCAACCACCCCATACGGTCAGATGTGGCACAAGGCCGAATTTACTGTGGGGTATCTGTGCCCGTTGTCTCGGCCAAAAATTCCTGTAAACCCAGTACAAAATGGGGTCAGGTAGCTGTTTCTTGAGATGAAACTCTGTCCTTCGACATAGCCTCATCTGGGGATTGTCTCTGCCCAGAGGCAGAGAGTTTGACCAGCACAGCTGGAGACAAATTTCCAACTGTAGACCAACATACAGTATTCACTACTGTATTTATGTGAATGTGGACATACCCATTATCATCTGTAGGTATGCTACAACACATAGTTTTTCAGAAAAATAGTTTTCTCAAACCCACTGTTATCACTTTTTTTAGTATTTATGGGGGTTTCCTTTCTAACTTTCGTCCTGAGTAAAACGATAAACTATGTCCAACAGCAAGGCCTCTGATCAGGAGGTTTTGAGGAGCATGAAACCACCTCTTAATTGCTGATGTTTCCAGGTCCATCCTGACAGAGAGTGGTAGCACCTGTTAGGGTCCCAGCTTTGGGCAAATAGTTAACCCCCAAACTCTGGTCAAAACATTATGAAAGTGTAAAAAAGGTTTTAATACATTTTTTTTTAAAAAAATATTACCAGTGAAGGAAAATTCTTACCAGAAATAGATTTTTGAAGGAAAAAATATTAACAGAAATAGATTTTTGGAAAAAAAATATTATCAACATTAAATAACCCATTGAGGTTGATATTCTGTAAAACCAAACAAAACAACCCAAGTGAGTAATTTAAAAAAACCTTTTACGAAAATAAAACCATCCAAGATTGTAAATTTCCTAAAAGAAATTGGATTGTACTAAAAATTTTCAGTAATTGAAAAATGGTTCAAATATATATGTATACATTTACACCTTTTTTTTACCAAACTATCACTATGAATCTACTTCAAAATTTTGTTAGCATTAAATGTCCCACTTAATACTTAATGAGTTAGATATGCCATAAAACAAAACAAGCAACCAACCTTTCTAACTTTTTGTTTAATGTAGTGTGGAATGTCAACAGATTGATTATATCCTTATTTTCCCCTCTAGTTACATGTGCTATCCATTTTAGCTTTTGCTGCTGTTGGAAGTTTTCTAGTGATTTGGTAAAGTTCATTTTTTGGTGCTTATGTAGCACCAGTCTCCTGAGGCAGAGGAAGGATTGTCTTCTTTTAAGGCATAGAGGATTCATTCACTTCAATCCAATCATTGATCTGAAAAAACAATTGTATAGAGATGATAGTTTATATCTGACGACGCTATTTAAGAATACAACTTGAAGTGGTTGTATATAGATGATAGTTTAAACAATTCTGAACAAATTAGATACCATTCATAACATCCATACAAGAGTCTAGACCTAGATGAGGCTGTTTAAGAATACAACTTGTATTGGTTGTATAGAGATGATAGTTTAGACATTTCTGAATTAGTTGCTATGCATGACATCTGTTCTGTTCTGTGTACAACAGACCTACTAGCACCCATCTCCCTTTATCGGCCCCTTTGCTTGGGGGCTTCTTTCTGACCCTACACCGGTTGAAGGTTCCGGTGCTCAGCCTCTATCTAGTTTAGCTGCCCCCAGCACGGCCACATGGCATGCCCCAGCTTGGTCAAGATGGCATAGTTTTTCATCCTTTAAATATCTCAGCTATTCTTGGACATCTCCGTAAGAACTATCGCCTTTCTTTCTTCCTATTATGGAATTATTTAATGCAAGCATTATTTTTTAGTATCATTTCCTTCCTTAAACGAACTTTGTTTACCTTCTCACCACGTATGGAACCTCCACCTTTCCTCTCGGAACTTGACTGTTACTCAGTATAATTTGTATTCTTTTTTTCTTCTATGAGTATTTCTTATGTTCAAATGCTTCTATTCTGTAAGCTTATCGTACCTACAACTACTTAAGGTCTTAGTAAATACTCACCTTCATTTTGTATTTCTGTATTTCTGAAGAAACGTGTTTTTATTTTCTTTCAGTTTTACCTTTGTCGACTGTCAATAAACCTGTGCCTAAAACATACTATGTCTCAGAGTCTTGATTGTCGATGAGAGTTTATGATAACTGTCTCTAGGGTTGTGTACATTTCAACGAAATACACGCATCCCGGAGACAGTATAACATCCATATGAGGGTTTATATCTGACAAGGCTATTTAAGAATACAATTTGTATTGGTCTGGTACAAGGCTACAAGATTGGGAAGCACAGTAAGACTTGAAACTTCCTACTGAAGTAAAGTTTTGAGATTAACAATGATTTTTCCAGATGTAAGTCCTACCATTTAACCCATAGTTGGGGGGAGGAGATGGATTTATATTCTTCCCAAGGATATTTGTACATAAGTGAATGAAATGAACCCAACTGGAATTCGAACTCAAATCTTCAATTTCTCATTTTTAGCCAGTATCCATTTCACCACCTGCACATCCACCTTTTTGTTAGTAAGGTGACTTCTTGATGTAATTGAATTAGGGAAGCGATCCCAGTATGCATCACATTTTAGAAAGTGCTTGAAAACTACATGACAGGTTGACCCAAGCCTTGTGAGTGAAATTGGGTAGATGGAACTGTTCAGATGGCATTGATGATTGTGCTAGCACAAAGACACAAGTCATCGTGGCTGAGGTTTTGAATGTACGGGCCTTGTTCAAACTGTTTATTGTGCAAGATAATGCCCTCCCTCCTAGAAACTGTAACCAAAGTCTGCTCTAGTTGTAATATAAATCATAAATAGGCTTTGTGGGTATGTGCCTGAGCAGTTGTCTGCAACAGGGATTAGCCCCAACAGACAAGAATGCTCAGAAACAAGAAGCCATTATTATTATTATTATTATTATTATTATTATTATGTAAGTGTATGCATATGTGCAATTGTATGCTTCTATAAACTCACACACACACATATATATATCAAACCTCTCCAGTCTCTCTGTATGTTTGTATATATTCAGTTAAATGTATATAAAAATGTGGCTTTTGGCAGCTGTGGAATATTGTCAGTGAGGATTTCTCCCATGTCAAAACTGTGGCTGATATTTTGCAGTCAGCTTAAAAGAAAGATGAAAGCAAAAATGCACTGAAAGTAAAATGAAATAAATTTGAGGAGAAACATTTTATGGGTTGCCATCAAAAAGGGGAGCATGAAAAGAAAAAAAAGTATGAGAAATTTTAAGAGGAAGAGGGAAAAGGAAGTGCTAGGAGAAAAAAAAAATGGATAAATAACAAGAGGAAGGAAAAGTAGGGGAATATGGTAGGAGTTAAAGAGAAAAAGGAAAGACAAGTAACAAGAGTGGGGAGGAGAAATGAAGATTTTGGGAGAGAAAAAAAGGTAGGACAAATAACAAGTGGGGTGAAGAGAAATGAAGATTAAAGAAAAGAAAAGGAAGGTCAAATAAGAAGAGGGAGGAGGAGAAATGAATTTTGTGGAAGAGAAAAAGAAAAGGAAGAATGAATAATAAGAGTAGGTGGGGAGAAAGATTAGAGAAAAGAAAAAGAAAAGGAATGACAAATAACAAGAGGGAGGAGGAGAAATGAAGGTTAGAGAATATAAAAAGAAAAGAAAGGACAAATAATAAGAGGCAGGAGGAGAAATGAAGGTTAGAGAATATAAAAAGAAAAGAAAGGACAAATAATAAGAGGCAGGAGGAGAAATGAAGGTTAGAGAATATAAAAAGAAAAGAAAGGACAAATAATAAGAGGCAGGAGGAGAAATGAAGGTTAGAGAATATAAAAAGAAAAGAAAGGACAAATAATAAGAGGCAGGAGGAGAAATGAAGGTTAGAGAATATAAAAAGAAAAGAAAGGACAAATAATAAGAGGCAGGAGGAGAAATGAAGGTTAGAGAATATAAAAAGAAAAGAAAGGATAAATAATAAGAGGCAGGAGGAGAAATGAAGATTAGAGAAAACGAAAAGAAAAGGAAAGACAAATAACAAGAGGGGGTTGAGTAATGAAGATTATGAAAGAGAAAAAGAAAAGGATGGATGAAGAGAAAAAGGGGAAGAAATGAAGATTGTAGAAAAGAAAAAGAAAAGAAAGGATTAATTACAAGGGAGAGGAGGAGAAAGGAAGATTGGAGAAAAGGAAAAAATAAAGGAAAGACAAATTATAAGACAAAGGAGGAGAAAGTAAAAGAAAGGGAAAATAACAAGAAGGGGAAAGGATAGATAGGAGGAGGGTAAGAGAAATGGGAAAACAATTAAGATGAAAAAGGGATAGGTGGGAGGAAAGAAAAAGAAAAGGAATCATAAATAAAATGAGGAATGAGGAGAAGAAATAAGTGGGAGGAGGGAAAGAGAAAAAGAAGAACAATTAGCAAGAAGAGAAAGAAGAAGGGACAAATTGAAGGGAGGGATAGAAAATGAAGGACAAACAACAAGAGGAAGAAGTGGTAAGAAAAATGGAGTTGAAAAAGAAAAGGAAAGGCAACATAGAAAAAGGAGAAGGAAAAAAGAATAAAAGAAATGAAAAAAAGAATGAAAAAGTAGAAAAATACAAAAAAAATCAGGGAAAATGTGAATAGACCATAAAGAATAAAAATATGAAAGAAAAAATTTCAAAAAAAAAGATAAACTTTGACCTTTCATTCTCAGAGTTGTTTAGATTATTGATCATATGCTTTTTACTACTTTTTGGTTGATCCATTCTCTGGCCTTTTCCATGTCCAAGGGAAAGAGGTGATGGAGAGGGGTCTCTTTTATTCCACCCCCCTTCAAAAAGGTTGAGGGCAGCAGACAAAAATGATTGAATGAATCCATTATACGAAGCCTCATAGCAACATGCAGGAGAATCATGATTCAATATTTGCTACACAAGGTTGCTCACCAACACTTTCCTTGATAAGCAAAGAAATCCACCCTAACTTGACTTACAAGGCTAATATATGCAGTCTCTTTTAACTTTCTCATTTCCCAGTACTGGTTTCAATCTATTACTTCAATCTTATCCTCAAATGATTGATATTTTCTTCTCCCTTTTTCAGATATCGTCTGATTCAGTATTACTGTGGGGTCTGGGCTGGAGTGGCTCAATTCTCACTTTCAGCCTCGACAGCATTCAAAATCTTGGGGGATAAATTATTCTTCATTCTGTAGCCTCTTTCTTCACAGGCACAATGACACAAGTCTGTCTAATATAATGTATACATACTAGTTTTAACCTGAGAAAATTTCACAGTTTTCCTATTTTAATATTTTGATGAATCTTGATTTAATTTAATTTAATGATTGAATAAGCTCATAAAAAGTTTTACGACAATAAAATATCTGTAGAAATTCCCCTATCGCATCATTAAATATTTGAGCTTAACAAGTTTAACAAAATATTGCAATAAAAATCATAAATATAAATACTGATCATTATTTTAGGAAGTGGGTAGAAATGAAAAAATCTGAAATTGACGTTTTCCATTTCATTAAAACAGCCACTAAACATATAGTGAGTTATCAGTTATAGTGAAGTGTATGAGTGTCGAAACAGGTTAGTTTGATTTGGCCTTGTTAGCTAGATAGCCCACCATAAGAGGGGTATAAAACAAGAAAATCAAATTGTAAAGTGAAACAATAAATTTATATACATATAAATCAATTAAGGTCTCTACAAATTAAATTAATGTATTTTGGTTGATACATGGTCGTCAAAATGTTCATAGTAGTCCTTGCAAGAATGAGTTTATGTGTACGTAGGCAGGAATGTATGTGTGAATGTATGTATGTATGAGCATTATCGTAGGGTAGGAATGTCTTTGAAGTAATCGCTCAGTCTTAAAATGTTCCGTTCGTTTATCAAGTATAAAAGAGGTGAAGGAGAAAGGTAGAGATAATAATAATGATCACTTGATGTTTGTTGATGGATGTGTCTCTTCTCTCTGGTGACAGGCGAACTTGGGCCATCTTTTATTTTGTTTGTTGGGCTTGAAAAAATCATTTGGGAATTCACTTCTGGATACAATTCGGGCCTTTCCATTGGACGACGAACAAATTTCACGTTGGCTTACAAAAAGGTCTGTAAAAGAATTTGTTTCTGAGAATTGAAGACTATTTGAATTTTGTTTTTAAATGTTTCCTAGTTTTCTATTGGCCGAAAAACATTTTGCATCAAGGTGTGAAGTTTCACGAGTTTTGTTTTAGATTCGCTTTTGTGTGTGTGTTAAGCAAAGTTTGTAAATTCAAGTCTTTTTATTTTCTAACAAAATCAATGAGTCAGTGCTTAGCATTTGAATTTTATATCTAGATCTTGTTTTGTTCACTACAATCACTTCTATTTCCTTTCTTTCTTTCCTTCAATCAAAAGAGAATAGTTTATTATTTCAGTATCTGTTTATATTTCTGAGGTGAGGTATTATGTACACTACTTACATTATTTGGGCTACTGTCCTCATCTTTGTTTCCATATTTATTACAATGTTTCGGCCGTTGTACGCTCTGGCCTTCTTCAGGTGGTTGGAATGTCGAACTGAACCCTTTATTTTGCTCACTGGAGTAGACTGTTCTAGTTCCGCATGCCATGTTTTCCAACCACCTGAAGAAGGCCAGAGAATACAATGGCTGAAATGTTGTAACAAATATGGCGACAAAGATGAGGACAATAGTCCGAATAATGTAAATAGTGTACATAATACCGGGTATTGAACTCACATTCTTTGAGTAGTGTTACTGGATCTAACTAACGCCTTTATCCACTGTGCCATGTGTCCAAAGAGTGTGAGTTCAATACCTGGTTAAGGTAGTGGAGAACTTGGAGAGGAGAATTAACAGAAGATAACTGATAACTGACATCCATTAAACATGGCACGTGGAACTAGAACAGTCTATCCCAGTGAGCGATATAAAGAGTTCAGTTCTGAATAACGTAAATAGAGTTCATTATTTATAAATTATTAGTTGGATATGGTTAAGGTTTCGTTAAGTTTATTTTGTTTTATGGCATATCAATCTCAATTAGTTATTTAATACCAACAAAATTTATTGGATAGATTTGTATGAATAGAATATATATTCTTTGTAAAAAATCAGTTTGTAGATCAGGTTTCATTGATGTATTTTTGTAAAATAAAAGGGTTTTTGCTGAGAGTCAAATGTATTGCTGGTAATTTGTTTTTGTTTTTTTTAATGTATTGCTGGTATTTTTACTATAAAAATTCATTTTTATGCTTTCATAGTGTTTTGACCCTATTATGGAAGCTAACTATTTTCCCATAGCTGGAACCCTAATGGGTGCTACCATCCAGATCAGAAAAGAACCTGGGAACAATAGCAATTAAGAGGTGGTTCCACACTCCTCAAAACCTCCTAATCAGAGGTCTTGCTGCTGGATGTAGTTTATCATCCTACCCCGGATAGCAGGATATGTTAGACACTTCTCTCTTCCCTTCTTTCTTTCACTCATTTTCTCAGTGGAGCCAAGTAGTATCTTTTCCCCTCTCTCCATGCGATCAAAACAGAATAGATCATTATTTATGAGGAAGTAGCAGGACATAAAGATCATGTTAACTAATGAAAGGAGACACAAGCACAGCTATAATACAATTATTCGAATGATCTTGTAGACTAATAGTGCAATTATTTCTATGAAATCTTTTGATTGTTTTTTTTTTCCAAAAAAATTCAGTAAATTTAAAGTGACTAATAATATGAGATTGAGTGTTTAAGCAAATGTTTTGCCTGAGAAACAAGATGAAGCTAATAAACAAAAATATCTATGAAAGTAAGCAAATTGCTTCAGTTCTGAATTTTATATTATGTTATAAAGTTCTTAATCTTGTCAGAAATTCTGATATAGATTATTTCCATTACTCTAAAGATAGTTTTGAAGAAAGGACTAAAGATCAATTGCAAGTAGACAGAATGCATGGTTGTCAGCAATAGGGAACAATCCAACATGCCAATTACAAATTGGGGATACCAAAAACTATTTAAATATCTGGGAAGTGTTTTAACAGAGGACAGAAAGTATGATACTGAAATCTGAAGATGAATTGCGATAAGGAAAGGTGCCTTCTAAAAGTTAAGAAAAGTATTATGAAACAGGAAAATTTCTTTAGAAAAAAAAGAGTACTGGCTTGTTATGTAATAACAGTCCTCCTATATGACAGTGAATGCTGGACAATCTTCTGATAGCTGAAGAAGAGACTTGAAGCAACAGTAATGTGGTTCTACAGAAAGATGCTAAGAATATCATGAACCGAACATGTGAGCAAGAACAAAGTTTTAGAGAAAATAGAAAAAAAAAGGACAATTATACTTATAATCAGAAAAAGACAATTTAAATCCTAGGCCATATAATGAGGAAAGAGGGCTTGGAAATTTTGATACTCACAGGACAGATAGTAAGCAAGAGGTTACAGAGGAAAACAATGCATAACCTGCCTAGTGAGCTTGAATAAATGAATGGCAGAAGCAGGTTTAGGAGAGATAACAGAATGACAACATTTATTAAGAGCTACAAAGGACAGGAAATTGTGGAGAGCCATGATCATCTACATCCTGAAGGGACACAGAAGATAGAAAGAAGAAGAATGAGCTTGAGTAAATGGATGATGGAACAAAGTTTAGGCGGGAAAAGAAAAAGACAAAATTTATTAAGACGTATGAAGACAGGAAATTGTGGAGAGCCATATTCCATAGGTTATTTCCAAGAGTTAAATGAGATAAAAAATGGACTATTGTTGCCATGTCTTGGCTGGAGCTGCTCAATCCTGACTTTTTATTTGTGATAGAGTTCAAAATGATTTATGCAGTCTTGTAAGGGACAACATATTCTCCACTCTGCAGTGTCATTCCCTTGGACACAGTTTTGCAAGCCTATCACTATTTTCAAAGCGAATGTTCTGATTGGCATCATACTTTAGTTCTACCAGTTCAGATCTTTACAGCTAGGAATTACCATTTTATATTCCTGAACCCAAATCATTTTCATTTCGTCTGTAGGAGGAAGTTCTACAGAGACATCTTTTTCTTAAGAACTCTCACTTTGTGGAACAGACTTTTATAATATGTCATCAATATGCTGTTCAATTTCTTCATTCGATAAATGTCACTGGGAAGAAATATTTTATAAACAATTTCTAACATTTTGGAACTGAACTTATGATCTGCAAGACAATCAAAATAAATAAAAGAATTTTTGCCACTTTTTTTTTTCTTTTTTTTTTTAAATCTTATTACTGATTAGAAATATTTATAACACATGAAAGATAGGTGTACGCTAGTAAGAACAAGAAATGTTTAATTTTCAAAGTGTCTTTGGTCGCCCCTTCTTGATAACAAACATACTATTTCTTCCTATTAGAAAAAAACTTTTGTTTTTTTTTTGGGCGGGGGGAATTTTACATCTGTTTTTATTTGCTTTTATCTGTTTTTCTTCACATGTATTTCTTTTTTTACCTTCTTTTTCATTTTTGTAATTTTCTTATTCTGAATCCCCGCTTTTTGGGGTAAGGCAGTTCTGAAATAAGGCCTTCACCAACATTAATAACAGATATTTTTTTAATTGCATTATTTACATTATTCAGACTGTTATCCTCATCTTCATTGCCATATTCACAACATTTCGGCCGTTGTATGCTCCAGCCTTCTTCAGGATATTGGAATTTCAAACTAAAACCTTTATTTCATTCACCAGGGTAGGTTGTTCTAGTTCCACATGCCATGTCTCTTCCCTTTAATTCCGCTCTCTAAGTTTTGGTTCACCACTGCTGTGGCCTGGTATTGAAATCAGAAATTTTTGGATCTAGTCACTAGAATCTAAGCAACGTCTTTATCCACTGGGTCATGTAAGGCAATGAAGACGAGGATAACAGTCCAAATAATGTGAATAATGCAAGTCATCATAATACCTCATCTCAGAGATATAGACAGTCATCAATAGGCTGTTCAATTTCTTCATTCGATAAATGTCACTGGGAAGAAATATTTTATAAACAATTTCTTACATTTTGGACCTGAATTTAAGACATAAAAGACAATCAAAATAAATAAAAGAATTTTTGCCACTTTTTTTTTTTATAGAACTTCCTCCTACAGACGAAATGATGTAGATGATCATGGCTCTCCACAATTTCCTGTCCTTTGTAGCTTTAATTTACAAAGTTTTATAACACATGAAAGATAGGTGTACTCCATTAAGAACATGGCCAAAGATGCATTCTAAAAGCTAGGAAGAATATTATGAGACAGAAGGATTTCTTTGGTAACAAAGAAAAGAGTACTGAGATGTTATGTGACATTTGTCCTTTTTTATGGCAGCGAATGTTGGACAGTCTCCTCAAAGATGAAGAAGAGACTCGAGGCAACGGAGGTATGGTTCTACAGAAGGATGCTAAGGATATCATGGACCAAGCATGTGAGCAACAATGAGGTTTTGGAGAGGATGCAAACAAGGAGGAAGCTTATACTTAACATCAGGAAGAGTCAGCTGATATTTCTGGGACACGTAATGAGAAAGGAGGGCTCGGAGAATCTGATACTCACAGGTCGAGTAAAGAGAAAGAGAGACAAGGGAAAGTAACACATGACATACCTAACAGGCTTAAGCAAGTAGATGAGAGACTGTGGTCTGGGGGAAGTAGCAAAGGAACAAAACTTATTGAAAGCCTACAAGGGATAGGGGAAAGTGGAGAGCCGTGATCGCCTACATCCTGAAGGGACACGTCACATAAAAAGAAAGAAAGAATGTTTAGTTTTGAAAGTGTCTTTGGTCATCCCTTCTTGATGACAAACAAGATCACTTGCTCCTAACTTTTACTATTTTTGTTTAGAAAAAAAATCTTTCATTTGGGGGGGGGATTTTCCTTCTGTTGTTTTGATTTGCTTCCCTTCAAATCTTACTCTTTTTTTTACCTTCTTTTTCATTTTTTTTTGTGGGGGGCAGTTCTGAAATAAGGCCTTCAACAACATTAGTGACAGATATTTTTTTTTAGCAATAAAAATAAAAATCTATCTTTACTGTCGTAAACACTTGTGCAAATTAATTGAAACAAAACAAATAAATCTGTTATTATTTACTTATTTTCATTTTTTTTTTTTCCAATGAAACATGACCTAATGCACATGTTAGTACTTTGTATGTCCATTCCACAAAGTCGTTCTTTGCAGATTGACCATCAACTGGATTTAAATCAGGAGAGTTTCCGGGCCAGGCTATAGTACTTTGATTTGCTCATTTACCAGTTTGTTTGTGTAGCATTACAAATTTGCATACACTTCCTTGGAGTAACATCAATGTAGTTTGAAAAAAAAACTTACCTCATGGGCGTCCGTACATAAAAAGAATCTCGTGGGGAAGCCATATTGTTTTTATGCTGACAAATTAACACAAAATCACGGCGATCATGAGATTTGAGAAAATATAAATATGCAGTGTACAAAAGACGGAGGGAGGAGAAATTAGTCTACAAACAACCTGACAATACAACAAATACAATCCATTGCAGATAATGGTTATAGTACAACTTATCGACAGTCGAGAAAATAGTGTTGCTGTCATGGATAACGCAATATTTTTCAAAGCCAAACGAATTTCATCATATGCCCCAAAAATAGATTCATATTACTGCACACCGCTGCAAATGACCTAATCTGAGGAAAAAATAGAAATCGATTACACTTTGTCACTCCAGTGAGTCTATAACTGACCATATGGTGTAAGAAAGAAAACTAAAGCGGTTGTTTCAATTAATTTGCACAAGGATATATATGTGAACAAAATCTTGTTCCCATGTGATAATCTGCAGAGAATACTTTCAATGTAGTCTAATAAATAATGTCTTTCATTATCCTGTAAACAAGAAAAAAATTTTAAAATATAAAATATTGGCCTAGTATGGACAAAGTCGGTTTTTAAATGAATGTAAAGTCCCCTGTCAGTTCCAAAAGATCATATTTATCCATGTGCACACTTGAATGGAATAAAACTCAAGATAAAGTTTAAAGAGAGTCCCATGGGAGCAGATATCAAAAATAGTCAAGTTCACTTGGTATTTCCATTTTGGGATGCATCAGACAACAGGATTTAACCCTAGCCTTTCCCATTTAATGAAAGGGGTGAGGTACAACCGGTGGGATGGCCTGTGGAACTGGACTTATTAATTTCCAACTAAAAATCCCAAAATTAGAGAACAAGAACTAAAAATTCCCCAGAAAGATGGAAATATTCACCTCGTTTATAATCTGAAGAGAAGAGTAATGTGGAGAAGGATGTATAATTTGTTAAAATTAAAACTTAGAAAGAATTCAGAATTTAATAGAATGTTCACTTTGAGACTTATTGATATATAACAATGATACAGATAGATAGATAAATATATAGATAGATAGACAGATAGGTATATGTATATATATATATATATATATATATATATATATATATATATGTATAAACAGATATACATACAAATACATGTATAGATAGATGTATAGATAGATATACATAGATAATGTATAAATAGATATATATATGTATAGATAGATATAGATAGATATACATAGACAGTTATATATATATATATATATATATATATATATATATAGATAGATAGATAGATATGCCTAGATAGTTATATAGCTATCTATCTATATGTATAGATAGATGTCTAAATAGATAAATATATCTATTGATCGATAGATAGCTGTATGTTTAGATAGATAAATATATATGTGTGCATGTGTGTGTATATATATATATATATATATATATATATACTCATCCACATATATAAATTAGATCAGCTGATCATGCCACCTACTGTCCTCCTGATTACTCTTTTTTCTTCCCACTCATTATTAATGTTTCTGTTCCTAATTTTTCTACACCCAGTAACCCCTTCTGTCTTAATGGCTTTACTGCCTTGCATGGGGTGATAACGATTAAAAAACAATATATATATATATATATATATATATATATACATATATATATATATATAGATATATATGTATGCATGTATGTGTAGATAGATAGATATGAAGAGATTGAAATAGATACAGATAAAAATGAAAAGGCATAGATAGATAGATAGATAGATAGATAGATAGATAAATACGAACAGAATGAGATAGATAGATAGATAGATACGTACAGAATAAGATAGATAGATAGATAGATAGATGTGAAGGAAGAGGATATAGAAGGCAAAGAAATTTACTGAGGAGGATAAAAAGATAGAACGACAGAGGAAAGATTGTGTAGAGATAAAGACAAAAGAGTGAAAGGAATGGTGGGACTTGGCAGTAAAAGAATAAAACAGTATTTCGACCGCCCACTGTCTTCGTCAGCTCTCTCTATTCCAAACAAAAAAAAGAAAAAACCCCAAAAGACAGAGATAATGGTTTTTGTGGCTTTTATGCCAACAGTCGAATTCCAGAACACCTTACTAAATCAGAATACAAGAAATATCTCCTCAGGGAATATTTGGAACCATTAGTTGTTTGATATTAGATATTTCTATTTTATTTTTTCGTTTCTTTTGTTTGTTGAGAAATGTAGATTGCAAGCTGCTCAAAGAAAGTCATGTTCATGATTCTTTCTAAAAGAAAAAAAAAACAGAAAAAATGCCATTGAAATAAGCCATATTTGTACAAAAGAATGTATTTTGGAATAATCAATGTCTGCAATTATTCTTTGGAAACTACAAAAAAATATATTCAAGTCAATTCCATACTTCTGTCGTATAACAGTTGCTAGATTGGTATGTAGATTTCATATAATGGGAAAAAATCTTATGTTACATGTTTTGTTCCTCAAAAGGACTTCTTCAGACTAAAAATGGTTTTATTGCTGGAGTTTTACAACAGGGAAAGGAATGAAGCAAATATCAGAATTATATATTAAGAAACACTGACAATACAATTAAAATTAAAGCACTGTACATACAATTAAAATTGAAACATGATACAATTAAAATTGAAACACTGAAGATACCATTAAAATTGAAATGCTATGATGCACTTAAATTTGAAATACTAAAGAGATAATTAAAATTGAAACATGATACAATTAAATTTGAAACATTGAAAATACAATTGACTTTGAAATGCAAAAGACGCAATCAAAATTGATAAATTATAACTAGTGTTGTTTTTTTTTTAATTCATTGATTAAACAATTAATAGCCTGATGAAGCCCTTTTGACATTTGAGTACATAATGTAAGAGTTTTCTGTTGGAATACTTTTACTTATCTGGCACAAGGTATTATGTATAGAGTGTCAAGTGGTTATGGTTGACTGATTCATTTTCTTTGCAGGTTATTTAAAACCAGAAGATATTTTTAGATTATAAGTTATTTTTTTAGCGGGGTGGGCAATAATAATGGTTTGGTTATAAAAGTCTTATTAATTAACCCATAGCTGGGGGGAAGGAGAGGAGGTGGATTCATACCTTTCCCAAGAATATTTGCACATAACTGATTTGTTATATAGGAATAAAGTGTCACTGCTGACACTTGAGTTTGAACATAGATCACCAGTGAGTAAACACAGGCAATCCCATTATTAAGTAAATCACATGACCATAGAGTAGTTCTAGTCTATCCTCTATACTATATGGAATGCTATTTCTCTTCTATCACTATATGGACAAATTCTATTCTCTTCTCTACACTATTTGGATCAATATGGTGGTTACTTTTCAAATGAGCATTATCTGACACCAGCATTGTTCAACAGTGTACTATAGTTGTATCTGCAATTACAAAGGCTCTACTATAACGAGCATTATGAAAGTGACAACAAGTATTTGTTGGCATTACAAAAGTGACATCACAAAATGAATATAACAAAGCCAATGGGAATTGGAACTCGGCTCTGCGATCAACAATCCCAAGCCATTATCCATTACACTCCCCACACATCTAAGCTTACAGCACCTGGTATTTTCCAAACAGTCACCATCTTGGTACCCATCCATGTAGCTTAACTTTGGTGATTATCGAGGAACCAGTGTTTCAACATGATGTGACTATAAACCTAAAAGGGTTATGATGTACAAGATGATATTGTTAATGATTACCCTATAGCAAGGTGCTAAATTCTATCATATTTACAAAGTAGTTTGGCACAAGGCCAAAACTGTTGGGTTTTCAATAAGGATTAAACTCACTGCTAGTATTGCTGCCATATCTGGGCTGGAGCTGCCCAATTTTTACCTTACAGCCTTGATAGAGTTTAAAATCGTTTACATGGTCTTGTAGGTTGTGGACTACTTTTCAATCTACATTTCTTTCCCATAGACAAAACATCAAACATTTTCTTTATATTCTATTTGTAAGGAAGAAGTTCCATTCAAACAGGCTTCCATTCAACTTCTTCATTCAATAAATGTCACCAGAAATAAATATTTTATAAACAATTTCTTGCATCTTTGAATTGAAATTCTTCTATTTGCTGTGTACCTTCAGGACATTGACAATCATGGCTCTCCACAATTTCCTGTCCTTTGTAGCTCTTAATAAATTTTGTCTTCCTGTTATCTCTCTTGAACTTTGTTCTGCCATCCATTTACACATGCTTCTTCTCCAGTATCTGTCTATATTTCTGAGATGAGGTATTATGTACACTATGTACATTATTCAGAATATTGCCCTCATCTTTGTTGCCATATTTATCACAACGTTTCAGCCCTTCAGTATCTGTCTATATTTCTGAGATGAGGTATTATGTACACTATTTACATTTTTCAGAATATTGCCCTCATCTTTGTCACCATATTTATCACCCTTCAGTATCTGTCTATATTTCTGAGATGAGTTATTATGTACACTATTTACATTATTCGGACTATTGTCCTCATCTTTGTCACCATACAATTACAATGTTTTAGCCTTTCAGTATCTGTCTATATTTCTGAGATGAGGTATTATGTACACTATTTACATTATTCGGACTATTGTCCTCCTCTTTGTTGCCATATTTATCACAACCTTTCAGCTGTTGTACACTCCAGCCTTCTTCAGATGGTTGGAATGTCGAACTGATCCCTTTATTTCACTCACTGGGGTAGACTGTTCTAGTTCCACATGGCATGTCTAATAGATGTCAGTTATCAGTTATCTCCTGTTAATTCACCTCTCCAAGTTCTCCACTGCTTTAACATGACACATGGAACTAGAACAGTCTACCCCAGCGAGTGAAATAAAGGGTTCAACTCGACATTCCAACCACCTGAAGAAGGCTGGAGTGTACAACGACCGAAACACTGTGATGAATATGGCAACAAAGATGAAGACAATAGTTCAAATAATGTAAGTAATGCTTCTTCTTATCCTTCTTCTAAGTGCCATGTCCCTTTAGGACATTGGCAATCATGGCTCTCCACAACTTCCTGTACTTTGTAGATATTAATAAATTTTGTCTTCCAGTTATCTCTCCTGAACTTTGTTCTGCCATCCATTTACACAAGCTCACTAGGTAGGTTATGTGTTGTTTTCATTTGTAACCACTTGCCTTCAATCTGTCTTGTGAGTATCAAAATTTCCAAGTCCTCTTTCCTCATTTTTAGCCCTAGAAATTTCAACTGTCTCTTCCTGATGTTAAGTATAAGTGTTCTTTTTGCTTCTATTTTTCAAAACTTTGTCATTGCTCACATGTTTGGTCCATGATATTCTCAGCATCCTTCTGTAGAACCACATTTCTGTTGCTTCAAGTCATCTGTGAGAATATTGTTCAGCATTCATGGCCATATACGAGGACTGATATTATATAGTTGTTATATAGGAATAAAGTGTCATTGCCAACACTTGAGTTTGAACACAGATAGCCAGTGAGCAAACATAGGCGATCCCATTATTAAACCACATGACAATAGAGGAAACGCATATATGGGAGGTAGTAGCATGACATCTAAATGATCACCATTTCTAGTCTATCCTCTATTTCTATTTGGATTGCTATTTCTACTCTATAAGAACCGCTATTCTCTACTCTATTCACTATACTATTTCTCTATTCAGATCACTATACAGATTACTATTCGAGCAAGTATTATTGATCAAGTACTATTAGTACCTGTTGTGGGTATGATGATAAACTACATCTGCATCCTGGGTATGACGATAAACTACATTCGCGTCCTAGGTAAGACGATAAACTATGTCCAGCAGCAAGGCCTCTAATCAGAGGAGTATGGAACCACCTCTTAATTGCTGATGTTCACAGGTCCACCCTGACCCAGTGTGGTAGCACCTGTTAGGGTCCCAGCTATGGGCAAATAGTTAACCCCTAAACTATCAAAGTGTAAAAATAGGTTTTAATACCAGAAATACTTTCTTGTAAAAAAATTATTATTTGAAATACATTATTACCAGCAATACATAATATATTAATAATAAATTTTTGGAGAAAAAAATATTACCAGCAATACATTTTTGGAAAAAAATATTACAAGCAATAAAGAATTTTGTTGGCTTTAAATAACCTATTGAAAACAAAACTATTAGTACAAAAGTATTTGAAGTCGTCTGACACCAGTATTGCTGAATTGTGTACTATAGTTATATCTTAGATTATAAAGTCTCTACTACAATGAGCATTACAAAAGTTACAACAAGTATCCATTGGCATCACGAAAATGGCAATGCGTGTTTGTTGACATCACAAAAGTAACAGTTCATTACTCTTTTCTTTTGTTTTTAACAATTTTTTCTGTTTTTTAATACTTTGCTTAGCTTTTGGAAGGCATCTTTCATTATGCCAATAAGCCTTTGGATTTCAGTGTCACACTTTCTGTCCTCTGTTTAATTACTTCCCAGGTATTTCAATTGTTGTACTTGCTCAATTTTGGTATCTCCAATTTATTGCATCATTTGGTGTCCTACGTGATGTATGCTTAGGGAATCATGTCAGTTTTTGATATATGATTGTCTAATTCATATAAAATTCTACTGGACACAAAGTGGGGTATCGGTTTCCTATTGTCATTAAGTACTAAAGTGATCACCCCATAATTACTGCATATCAGTATCCCACCTTAGATGCCATGCATGATGCATGCTTTGGTGATCATGTCTCTTTTCAATTCATGATTTCTATGGTAGACTGTTTGCCAATCAAGCCTGTGGGACCAAGTTTTTCCTACTATTTAACCCATAGCTGGGAGTAGAAGTGATGAATCCTAAGGGCATTTGCATGTAAATGAATGTAATGAACTTGACTGGAATTCAAACTCTGCTCTTCAATTTCTCATACCGAGCTTTGGCTGGCAATCAGCCTAACACAGATAGCAACGGTAGCCGACTGTAGGAATTCTTCTGCAATATTAATCATGAATCAGAAAGAGATGCGATTGCCCAAGCATGCATCATGTGTGGCACCTACAGAAGGAAGTCTGGCACACAATGCCTCAAATGATGAGTACCCACTAAGTTTCAAACTCACTGCTATAGTAATGGAACATGGCTGACTTGTTATTCCCTATGGCACGTCAAAATAAATTATTCTTTAGACTTTGGTAATTTTAGAATAAGTTCAATTTTCAGGGGGCACCCAGTTACAAAATGAATTTACTGACAATGGCTTGTTATGCTAGTCCACTGATTACTGCTGTCAAAATAAATCAATAAATCAATAGATATCTGTTGTTGAAATTTATGGAGTGTACTTGATTTACAGAATGCCAACTAATTACTGATCCTGGGAGAAAAATCCGGAAAACTCTGCCATGGAAATTAAGAAAACTTACTGGGAAGATACTGGCAATTGAACTCTTGACCTTTCTATCATAATTCCACTATTGTCTCTCTCAGAGATTCCTAGTAAAAATCTTGTTTCTTCATGCATATATAAATAAAGATATATATTTGTAAATAGAAGATATATTAGGCAATTAAATGAAAAAGTAGAAAGATTCTCTAGATCTTCATCGAACTAAAGTAATTTTTTTTCAATGATGGAATTACATAGGTTTAGGGGAGGGGCAGATGTAAAATTCAATCTTCAGTTATAATTATGTACCAAGGGAAAGTGCTAAAGTTATGAGAATGCTAAATTAAAAAAAATTTTGAGTTAAAATATGATCTTGTTTTTGATTTCATCACTTTAGTTGTTAAGTATCTCATATTGAGATAACAGAAGATCTACCAAGAAAGGTGAAATGTTGTAAGAACCTGGAGGCAAATTTACTGTGGATGATTTAGCAATCAGTGCACTTATTATACATTTTTGTGTAAGTAAATTGCTTTCTCATTTAATCAAAGTAGCATTTTTTAAACAAAATTATTGTCCTACTCATTACAACTAATGCATTGAGTGTGATGTTTTGTAAAAGATCCCTCTTATGTTCATATAATCATTTATTTAAATTCCTTGAGGTTTCTCCTATGTATTCTTTGTGGCAAGTATTACTGGTGATAAATTAAATTCTTTCTTGAGGTTTTAGGTTGTTATTACTTTGTTTTGCATTATGTCTTTTATTCTTTTGGAAGTACTTGTAACAAATTTTATGTTAAGCTTAAATAGATTCTTTTCAATTGTAATTGTGATAGAATTGCGAGGTCGAAGAATGAATTTTATTTAATTTATTCCAAAATATTTGATGAACCTTCTTTTTTGCAATGAATGTGAAATAATTAGGGTATTGGAGGAGCTTAAAATTATTTTCAATTTATTTCTCCTTATCATATAAATATTGAGGTCTGCAAAACACTGTTAAAGAGAGAGAACAATAAAAGAACAGGAATTAAGAAGACAAAAGATAATGATTGACATTGTATTTAAATTTTTGGATACTAAAGAAATAAAGTCACTAGTCTTGAAAATCATTACAGCATTAGACTATTCACCACGCATATGAAAGATTGTAAATAATTTGTAAAATGTTTTGTGAATAATAGTAATGCAGATATACAAACTACAATATTGTGGGTACCTCACCATTGAGTAATGATCAGGAAACTGGTTACATTGACTGTTAATGTTATAGTGAGATTTTTTAAATTTATTTCCCCCCAAGCAAGGAAGTAAAGTCACTAAGGCACATTGGGTTACTGAATGTGAAAGAATATAAGAAAAATAAAAACATTATTAAGGAGAGAGTACAATAAAAGAACAGGAATTAAGAAGACAAAAGATAATGATTGACATTGTATTTAAATTTTCAAAGACCAAAATTGGCTGGTAAGCAAGAAGCCACAAGAGAGTTCCAAAAGCAAGACGTGTGATAGAAGAAACTGTTAGCATAGAATTTATGGTTACATCTTTAGCTATTTCAACTGTAAAATGATAAGACCTTTCGAGCAATCTACACTTAAATTCATAAAGTCTAGGTACCATGGAGGAAAGTTCATTCAAACATTTTACCATGAAAGTATCTATAGAAAAAGGCACAGGGGACCTATTTTAAAATGGTAGAAAAGTGATTGAAGCTGAGATGCCAGATCAGGATCATTTCAGATTCTTTGTATTTTATCAAGAATCTCTATATCTATAGCAGAAGAACCAGACCAGATGTGACAGCAATATTCAATGGATAGATGGATTTAATTCTGTTTATATATATATCACTTCGGTTTACTATTGGTCATAGACTGAATTGTTATGATTAAAACTGAAATGAAGATGAAAAAATAATGGTTACATATCAGTAATAATTCAGGGCGGGGCATTTAATAACAATTTAATTCATGGCAGGGCATTTAATAACAGTTTAATTCAGGGCTGGGCATTTAATAACAAATTAATTCAGGGCTGGGCATTTAATAAGAATTTAATTCAGGGCAGGGCATTTAATAACAGTTTAATTCAGGGCTGGGCATTTAATAGCAGTTTAATTCAGGGCGGGGCATGTAATAAGAATTTAATTCAGGGCAAGGCATTTAATAGAATTTCAATTCAGGGCAGGGCTTTAATAGAATTTCAATTCAGGGCATAGCATTTAATAACAGTTTAATTCAGGGCGGAGCATGTAATAAGAATTTAATTCAGAGCAGGGCATTTAATAGAATTTCAATTCAGGGCTGGGCATTTAATAACAATTTAATTCAGGGCATAGCATTTAATAACAGTTTAATTCAAGGCTGGGCATTTAATAAGAATTAAATTCAGGGCAGGGCATTTAATAGAATTTCAATTCAGGGCAGGGCAATTAATAACAATTTAATTCAGGGTAGGTCAATTAATAAGAATTTAATTCAGGGCAGGGCATTTAATAACAGTTTAATTCAGGGCTGGGCATTTAATAACAATTTAATTCAGTGCAGGGCATTTAATAGAATTTCAATTAAGGGCAGGGCATTTAATAACAATTTAATTCAGGGCAGGTCATTTAATAAGAATTTAATTCAGGGCAGGGCATTTAATAACAGTTTAATTCAGGGCAAGGCATTTAATAAGAATTTAATTCAGCGCTGGGCATTTAATAACAGTTTAATTCAGGGCAGGGCATTTAATAAGAATTTAATTTAGGGCAGGGCATTTAATAGAATTTCAATTCAGGGCAGGGCAATTAATAACAATTTAATTCAGGGCAGGTCAATTAATAAGAATTTAATTCAGGGCAGGGCATTTAATAACAGTTGAATTCAGGGCTGGGCATTTAATAAGAATTTAATTCAGGGCAGGGCATTTAATAGAATTTCAATTCAGGGCAGGGCATTTAATAACAATTGAATTCAGGGCAGGGCATTTAATAACAGTTTAATTCAGGGCAGGTCATTTTAATAAGAATTTCATTCAGGGCAGGGCATTTAATAACAATTTAATTCAGGGCAGGGCATTTAATAAGAATTTAATTCAGGGCAGGGCATTTAATAAGAATTTTAATTCAGGGCAGGGCATTTAATAAGAATTTAAGGGCAGGGCAGGGCATTTAATAAGAATTTAATTCAGGGCAGGTCATTTAATAAGAATTTAATTCAGGGCAGGTCATTTAATAAGAATTTAATTCAGGGCAGGTCATTTAATAAGAATTTAATTCAGGGCAGGGCATTTAATAAGAATTTCATTCAGGGCAGGGCATTTAATAGAATTTCAATTCAGGGCAGGGCATTTAATAGAATTTCAATTCAGGGCAGGTCATTTAATAAGAATTTAATTCAGGGCAGATCATTTAATAAGAATTTAATTCAGGGCAGGGCATTTAATAACAGTTTAATTCAGGGCAGGGCATTTAATAAGAATTTCATTCAGGGCAGGGCATTTAATAGAAGAATTCAGGGCAGGTCATTTAATAAGAATTTAACTAGGGCAGGTCATTTAATAAGAATTTAATTCAGGGCAGGGCATTTAATAACAGTTTAATTCAGGGCTGGGCATTTAATAAGAATTTCATTCAGGGCAGGGCATTTAATAGAATTTCAATTCAGGGCAGGTCATTTAATAAGAATTTAATTCAGGGCAGGGCATTTAATAAGAATTTAATTCAGGGCAGGGCATTTAATAACAGTTTAATTCAGGGCAGGGCATTTAATAAGAATTTCATTCAGGGCAGGGCATTTAATAGAATTTCAATTCAGGGCAGGTCATTTAATAAGAATTTAATTCAGGGCAGGTCATTTAATAAGAATTTAATTCAGGGCAGGGCATTTAATAACAGTTTAATTCAGGGCAGGGCATTTAATAAGAATTTCATTCAGGGCAGGGCATTTAATAGAATTTCAATTCAGGGCAGGTCATTTAATAAGAATTTAATTCAGGGCAGGTCATTTAATAAGAATTTAATTCAGGGCAGGGCATTTAATAACAGTTTAATTCAGGGCAGGGCATTTAATAAGAATTTCATTCAGGCAGGGCATTTAATAGAATTTCAATTCAGGGCAGGTCATTTAATAAGAATTTAATTCAGGGCAGGTCATTTAATAAGAATTTAATTCAGGGCAGGCATTTAATAACAGTTTAATTTAATATTTTAACAGTTTAATTCAGGGCAGGGCATTTAATAGAATTTAATTCAGGGCAGGGCATTTAATAAGAATTTAATTCAGGGCAGGCAGGGCATTTTAAGAATTTAATAAGAATTTAATTCAGGCAGGTCATTTTAATAAGAATTTAATTCAGGGCAGGGCATTTAATAACAGTTTAATTCAGGGCAGGCATTTAATAAGAATTTAATTCAGGGCTGGGCATTTAATAGAATTTCAATTCAGGGCAGGGCATTTAATAAGAATTTAATTCAGGGCAGGGCATTTAATAAGAATTTAATTCAATTCATTTAATAACAGTTTAATTCAGGGCTCATTTAATAAGAATTTAATTCAGGGCAGGGCATTTAATAGAATTTCAATTCAGGGCTGGGCATTTAATAAGAATTTAATTCAGGCAGGGCATTTAAT